ATAAAAAAAGAAAACCCCGGGCCCCCCCCCCCCCCCCCCCCCCCCACCTAATGATGTATGTATGCGTGTACCGTTCTGTTTTGTTGCCGATTTGGATGCTCGGGCGCGGGCGAGGGGAGGATGGGTGTGCACGTGAAGGGGGGTGAATGGGGGATGTTTGTGGTGGTTTTGAGGGACGCATTTGGTGTGGCAATTGGTAAGGGGGGAGTGTGGTGAGCGAAAGGGTCTTCTTTCTTGTTCGGTCGATTCGGCGGGAAAATAAAGAAAAAGAAAGTGACGCTTCGGTGCGACATCCTACAATGCATAGGGCGTTCTATGTCATGAGAATCTTGCCCTCTTCCTCGTCTCCTTCCTTCTCGCTGTCGGCGGTTCGGTCGGTGCGTCGGACAGGAAAGAAAAACACACACACAAGTGAGGGAGAGAGATCGAGAGCAACACGTTCTACGCATCCTTAGTATACTACGCCTGACAACTGCGGCTGTCTCTGAAAGAAGAGCAGTTCCGAGACGGAGATGCCAATGAAAAAACTGTCGTACCTGCAGCCATCAATTATCCGTTGTCGAAAACCGAACCCATGTATTGTGCCCATTCGGTTGGTTGTGGGCAGGACAGACAAGCAGAAGACAGAGGTCAGAGAAAACACGATCATTTCCTCCTGTAACCCTCTGGCCCAGCACGCTATAGCATCCGCTTCTTCCCTCGCTTGGCTTGGACGTACACGACGCCGGTAGAGGTCACAGCAGCAGCGCGCCACATCGATTTGTTGGCCGTGGGACCTCTGAGAGCCAGCCGCAAGGAGAGCGACTCCCCTTGAGCCTCGAATTGACCGGCCGCCGCCTCTTCCGGCGTCCTCCTCGGACATTGTGATGCCATCCGACCCCCGGAGAAGAGATTGGCGAGTCTTTCGACAAAATGTCGGGGAGTTGGAGAGGCGTTATGTACTACAGTACGCTGCTGTGGTCAACCATCCACCGCCTTGCATCACTTAGGCACAGTATGCGCCCGAACTACACTGGTACTACATGCGCCACACATACTCGCACGACCACAATGGATGGATGTACACCGCGCTCTACGCTGTGCTTCAGCCTTCCCCTGCGACACGCACCGTGGTGAGCTTCCGTGTTTCTCCGTCTAGCCTGTTTTAGGTGTGAATGAACGAGCGGACGATACCACTTTGGGGGGGGGGGGGGGGGGGGGGGGGGAAAAAAACCCCCCCTCTCGAAACTTTTTCCCCCCCCAAAAACCGGCCCGAAAAACCCAACCTTTAACCCATCCCCCCCGAAGGGGAACCCCCAAAGGGGAAAAAAAACCCCCGAAAAAAACCCCAAAAAACCTCCCCCCCCCTCCCCCCAAGCTGAAAAAACGAAAAAACCCAATTTTACAACCCCCCAGGGGGGGAGTTCCCGGC